CGCCGGAGCCCAGGCGGCGGGCCTGCAGGGCCAGAGCGCCCGAGACCCTCGCCTGAACGAAATCTGAAGAAAAACACACAGGCACTGCTGACCCGCGCCCCCCATCCGAGCTACGCTGGAGGCTGTGCGTGCCCCGGGGGTCGCAGTTCGAAGCCCTGGAGACTCGGGACAACCCCCGGCACCGTAGGACGCTAATGTGAATGTTAGGACTTTTTTTTTTCTTTTTGCCCGTCCTGGGACTTGAATTCAGGACCTGGGCACGGCCCCTGCGCTGCTTTTGCTCAAAGCTGTAGCGCTCTACCACTTGAGCCACAGTACCACTCCTGGCTTTTCTGTTTATGTGGTACAAAGGAGTCGAACCCAGGGCTTCATGCATGCTAGGCAAGCACTCTACCACTGAGCCACCTTCCCAGAAACCCCCTCTCCCCCCCCCCCAATGTTATGGTTCTTAATGGCACTCCCCTGTTTGGGCTGAACTGTACCTCCTGCACCTTCATCATGATTTGCAATTACAGGAGGACACTGATGCCCAACATGAATCCAGAAGCCCACAAGGCCTAAAGACAGCCACGTATTACACGCTGAGTCAGCCTGGTTCACCAAAATATACAGGATAACCTTGCTTTCCTTTAGCAATCAAGGAAAACCCAGGACCAGGCATGGTATAGCATGTCTGTAATCCCAGCTACTCAGAAGGTAGAAGTTACATATTTGTGATCTGAGGCCAGCCCTGGGCAAAAGCACTAAACCCTAACTGACTCAAGAAATAAGAGTGCTTGCCTAAGCAAGTACAAAGCCCTAAGTTCAAGCCCCAATATTGGAAAGCCCAACACCAAAAGAAAAGGTCAGGCAATGGTGGCTCACACCTGTAGTTCTACCAACTCAAGAGGCTGAAATCTGAGGATCACAGTTTGAAGCCATCTGAGCAGAAGTCTATGAGACTTAATCTCCAATTAGTCACAGAAAAACACAAGACCTGAAGCTGTGGCACAAGTTATGGAGCACTATTCTTGAGCAAAAGAAGCTCAGGGATAGAGCCCACGTCCTGAGTTCAAGCCCAGGACCAGCACATACACAAAAAAACTGAATCTTTTTTTTTTTTTTGTCGTCGTGGGGCTTGAACTCTGGGCCTGGGTGCTGTCCCTCAGCTCTTCAGCTCAAGGCGAGCGCTCTACCACTTGAGCTACAGCACCACTTCCAGTTTTCTGATGGTTTATTGGAGATAGGAGTCTCATGGTCTCTCCTGCCCGGGCTAGCTTTGAACCTCGGTCCTCAGATCTCAGCCTCCTGAGTAGCTAGGATTACAGGCATGTGCCACCAGCGCCCGGCAAAAAAAAAAAAAAAAAAAAACTGAATCTGTCCTAAAGTGTACAGGTGTGTGCACAGGACCGAAGTTATGTACCCATAGAAATGGGAGAACTCGAGGCCCAACAGTTTCAGTGGTGTTTTGCTTTTTTTTTTTTCAGAGTCAAGAATTTAATCATGAAAATGAGATAGAGGATACTAACACCATTCTGAGCATTGCACTGAGAAAGATCAATAGAAAACTAAACATTCATAACTAGGACAGACTTCGTTTTGATCCCGAAAACAAATCAGAATTTTCAACAGAAACAAAATAATCATGAAACCAAGGAACTTTCCACAGCTAAGATCTGGACAATATAACCAAGATACACACCTAACATACAGTTTCCACAGTTTAAGGACAAAGGCTCTCTTGGCAGTTGATAAACATGGTCATCGTAAAGGGAAGTGAGGTGTCCTGTGGACGGTAATGAAGTTCGTTTATCTCGCAGACACTTGTTTCTCCATCACTGCAACGCCTGGAGTAGATGACAGACTCCTGCAGTCACCGTCGGTCTTTGTGGTGACCAGAGCCGTTGCACCTTCCTCCGTGGCTGGGAGCGGAAAGATGTGGTCAGAGTCTGCTTTGGCTTTGTTCCTGGTGCATTCTTCACAAGTACATTCTTCCACTGTATAGCCCAGGCTTCTTGGAAGAATGGCATCATCCCCAGGCCTGCTGTCCAGGTCAGCATCAGCCATGTCCAGCAACACTGAGCCTGATCATACAAAAGAAAAAACCTGAAGCCAGGCACCAGTGGCTCACTCCTGTAATCCTAGTACTCAGGAGGCTGAGATCTGAGGATCTCAGTTCAAAGCCAGCCTGGGCAGGAAAGTCCATGAGACTCTTATCTCTAATTAACCACCAGAAAACTGGAAATGGCACTGTGGTTCAAGTGGTAGAGCACTCGTCTTGAACTGAAGGGATCAGGACTGTACCCAGGCCCAGAATTCAAGCCCTATGACTGACAAAAAAAAAAAAGAAAGAAAAAAAAACTTGAACTGCAAGGTGGGGAAGGGAGAGGCATGGTCCTGGCAGCTTCTGCAGACATCTAAGGGCACAAAGCACAGCAAGATGGAGAAGGAGCTAGTCCTACACTGGAGTCATGGGCTAACATTCCCCAGGCCCTCAGGGCTCCAAGACATGGCTGCTTTGGAGGTGCACAATGTTAAGTATTTGTTTGAAGCTGACTTCATTTAAAAATCATGAGACACCAGGTGTTGATGGCTCATACCTGTAATCCTAGCTACTCAGAGGCTGAGATCTGAGGATCGAGGTTCAAAGCCAGCCCGAGCAGGAAAAGTCCATGAGACTCTTATCTCCAATTAACCACCAGAAGACTGGCAGTGGTGCTATGGCTCAAGTATTAGAACACTCACTTTGTGCTGAAGAGCTGAGGGACAACACCTAGACCCAGAGTTCAAGCCCCACAACTGACCAAAAAAAAAGAAAGAAAAGAAAAACCTTTGGGACACTTACCTTCAATTAATCAGCAAAAAGCTGGAAGTGGAAGTATAACTCAGATGGAATAGCACTAGTCTTGAGCCAAAAAGCCAGGCCCCAGCAATAACATACATACACATACACACACACATATACATATATGCATACATATGTACATATCAAAAGACCACAAAGGAATCTAGACAACTGAACTCTAAAAGGACAACACAAGTGGCCACATAGAAGGGACATGGGAACAAGTGGCTACCGTTGAGAACAGTTGTCACCTGCAGGGCCAGGCTCCCTTGTTGGCAAGCCATCTCCTGGCCTGGCACAGGCCTTTGCCACCCTTCATGGCCTTTTCAAGCCCTGAGAGTTTTACTTTATGTAAAGACCGTGAGATAACAGCTCCCTAAAGTCACCTGTGGAGATATTTTGACTCCAGGAGTCGAGGTGCTTCTCTACAGGTTGTTTTATCGTAAAGAAGGACCCTCCATAATTTCCCCTCAATGCCCCTGGGAAAGGACATGTTTCTGTTTCCCAACATTGTACAGTGTAAAAATACATGCGAAGAGGGGCTGGGAAGGTGGCTCAGTGGTAGAGCGCTTGCCTTGCATGCCTGAGGCCCTGGGTTTGATTCCTCAGCACCACATAAGCAAAAAGAAAAAAGCCGGAAGTGGCACTGTGGCTCAAGTGGTAGAGTGCTAGCCTTGAGCTGAAGAGCTGAGGGACAGCGCTCAGGCCCAGAGTTCAGGCCCCACGACCGGACCCAAAAAAAAAAAAAAAATACATGCGAAGAGTCTCACTTAGAGCTTCTCCAGAAATCAGCCAGACCCAGGAAGAAACCTGTGAGACCTCACTTACATGTAGTATCCAAAGAAGCTGGACACCTAGAAACAGAGTAGAAAGGTTGGAAGGGGAAGAGGATGGGAAACAGAACTGAAGGTAGCAGGATGCAACATGGCAGAGATGGGATGAAGAAAGGTGGATACCTACTGCAAACTGGACAGGTGTAGATTTCAAGGGCCCTCACCACCAAACTCAAAGGGAAAAGTGTGTGTGTGTGTGTGTGTGTGTTTATATAGGAAGATACGTTCATTTGCTTGACTGTGTAACCATTTCACCATGTACACATAATCAAAGCATCATGTTGGGCTGTGAATGTGGCTTAGTGGTAGAGTGCTTGCATAGCATGCATGAAGCCCTAGATTCTATTCCTCAGTTCCACATAAATAGAAAAAGCCAGAAGTGGCGCTGTGACTCAAGGGGTAAAGCGTTAGCCTTGAGCAAAAGAAACTCAGGGATAGAGCCCAGGGCCTGAGTTCAAGCCCCAGGACTGGAAAAAAAAATCATGTTGCCTGGTGCTGGCAGCTCACACCTGTAATCCTAGCTACTCACAAGGCTGAGATCCTGAGGAACTCGGTTTGAAGCCAGCCCAGGGAAGAAAAAGTAGTGAGACTCATCTCCAATTAAGCAGCAAAACAAAACAGCCAGAAAAGCACTAGCCTTGAACAAAAAAGCTCAGGGATGGAGCCCAGAACCAGCACATACACACACATACATACCACATACACAGATGTCTTACTCTCAGTGATCCACAGACACCCTCGAAAGTGTCGTAACTCAAGAAAGACAATGTTAAAAAAAGAAAAGGAACTGAAATTCGCAATCGCTACCTCTCAGAAATAGATTTTGAAGCTTCATCATCAGACTGACTGACCGACCTGTGTTTTTAAATTCCTCCTTCAGTGGTTTTGAGTTCATCTTCTTTAACAAGATCATTAACATGAAAACTGCCAAAGAAACTATCAAGAAGAAGCCCAGGCAGGTCCAGAGAACTGCATTGCTGGATTTTGCTGAACTGGTTATACCTTTAGTAAAAGAATGTCAAAGAGATAATAGGCCATTAGTATAATAGCCACATCAGGTAGAAATGACAAGTTATCCAGTTTCCCTAATTCATCACCAGCAATTTTTGAATTCAAAATGCCACTTTTGTTAGAAGAGCTAATAAAAACTTCTGTCTCCAGCAGTGCTGAAAAAAAAAAACTGAGTTCCATTCTGAATATTTTGTTCCTGAAGACATTTAAATAAATACATTGAGCCGGGCACCAGTGGTGCACACCTATAATCCTAGCTACTCAGGAAGCTAAGAGCTAAGGATCCCAATTCTAAGCTAGACCAGGCAAGAAAGTCCATGAGACTTTTATCTCCAATCAACCATCAAAAAATAGGAAGTAGAGGTGTGGCTCAAATGGTAGAGTACCAGCCTTGAGTGAAAAATCCTAAGGGACAGTCCCCAAGCCCTGTATTTCAGCTCTAGTACCTGCACGTGTGTATGAGCACACACACACACTGAAATTAATACTTTATTTCTCCCTTTCACGTCAGGAAAGCCTCACCACCTCCCCTGCTCCTTATCCTGTGAATGCCCCTTCAGAATACTAAGAAAGGATGTTCACGCCAGGCTGTCTTACATACTTGCGTTGCAGAACTGCTGACACGGCGCAGGAGGGGCCTTGGAACATCGAAGGTGACAAGGTTTGCAAACGTACAGCAAGTTGTCAAAATACTCACTTTGGAGGCACTGCTGAGCCATCTGGAGCTGGATAGCAAGAAAGAAAAGGATAAGAAAACACAGCAGGGAAGAACAAGGAAATTCTTCGCAAAAATTCTCCCAACCTGTGTGGTTGCAGCCGCTAGGAAGTGGAGGCAAAAGGAAGAACTTGACATCTCAGGCTGCGTTGGTTCTTAGTGGGCATCCTCACTGTGGCTAAGGATTTGAATAACACCTAATCCACATTGTTAAGTTGGAAGCTTGGGTGGGGTATGTATGTCAGGCAAACCAGACCTGAAACAGAAACTTCTTATTTATAGATGAAATTTCTCAACCAGGTGACAATTTTAAGGCAGAGAGGGAGAGCATCAAGAAGAAAGGCCAGTAGCCATTTTGGGGTCATCTATTTATATCTCTACTACATGGTAGGAAAGAGAGTAGGCTATTAGGTCTGTGCCCTTTAAGAACTTAAAAATTTGGGGCTGGGAAGGTGGCTTAGGGGTAGAGGGCTTGCCTTGCATGTATGAGGCCCTGAGTTCGATTCCTCAGCACCATATAAGCAAAAAAAAAACAAAATCACCAGGCTGTGGTGGCTCATTCCTGTAATCCTAGCTACTCAGGAGGCTGAGGTCTGAGGATCACAGTTCAAAGCCAGCCCGGGCAGGGAAGTCTGTGAGACTCATATCTCCAATAAACCACTCAGAAAACCGGAAGTGACATTATGGCTCAAGTGGCAGAGCGCTCACCTTGAGCTGAAGAACTGAAGGACAGTGCCCAGGTCCAGAGTTCAAGACCCACAACCAACAAAAAAAAAAAAAAAGAAATTAAAAATCCTGGGAAAAAGCAAAGGAAGGGAAGACATTATCCAAAAAAAATGTACTCATTACCTGACCTATGTAACTGCAACCACTCTGCACATCATCTTTATGATAACAAAAAAAAAATTTAATTAAAAAAAAAACTTTGGGTGGGAAGGTGGCTCAGTGTTAGAGTGCTTGCCTTGCATGCATGAGGCCCTGGGTTTGATTCCTCAGCACCATATAAGCAGAAAAAGCCAGAAGTGGTGCTGTGGCTCAAGCAGTAGAGCACTAGCCTTGAGCTGAAGAGCTGAGGGGCAGTGCCCAGAGTTCAAACCCCATGACTGACAAAAAACAAAAAATCCAAATAATCATTGCCTATAATCCTAATCAGGAAGCTGAGATCTGAGGATCATGGTTTGAAGCCAGCTCAGGCAGAAAATCCTATAAGACTCATCTCCAATTAACCAGCAAAAAGTCAGAAGTGGAACTGTAGTTCATGTGAAAGAACAATAGCTTTAAGCAAAAGAAGCTCAAGGACAGTGCCTAGTTCTTGAGTTCAAGCCCAGGACTGGCACAAAAGAGGGAGAACACGACTCAAGGCTGAAACCTGGAAGATCATGGTTCAAAGCTAGCCTGAGCAGAAAGGTCAGAGAGACTACAAAACCTTGATACCAGAAAAAAAAAAAAAAGAAGAAGAACACAACATCTCTGCTGTCATATAAAAGATGTAAGTGAGCAAACAATACAAGGTACTGCGCAGCATGTATAGCAGGCCCTGTTCTGTTTACAGAAGACAAAGTCTGTTCACAGCCAACCAACCTGGGCTCCATCTGGACTCAGACGGCAGGAGATAGAGAGCTGCTTCTGCCTCTAGAAGGAGAAAGGAAATCCAGGTAGGAAAATTATCTCCGGGGTAGGTCTGTCTACTCTGGTTCCCTCCTTCCCCTGGGCTGTGGTTCAGATACAGTTTGCACCCAAGCTAGCTTCAAGCTTTAGCTGTTAATCTGAGGAAACGAAGCCATGCAAAGCTACTAGTCTCCAGAACCATCAGTAGTCTCTATCAGGGTAACAGAGAATCCCCCAAGAATGAAGGTATTGATTTGCCAACAGGTGACAGGGTGAACTGTGAATCCAAAGATGGTGAGTCTCAGGAAAGATTACTTTTAACCTAAATTAAGGAAGATTACATAAGATATTTTAGAACAATAATCCTTGACCCAAAATACTAATAATAACTGAGTGTGGTAGCACATGCCTATAATGCCAGCACTGGGAAGACTGAAGCCGAAGGTTCAAGTTCCAGGCTAGCTTGGACTATTACTAAATGATTGGCAACTTTTTCCATGAGAACTTTTTTTGTTATCCCAACCGAAAGGCTACTATTTCCTGTTAGGAGTTTAATAGACACCTTCAGTTGGATGGACTATCTAAGACTCACTTGATCAGGAAGCCTCTAGGCTGGAGGAGTCCTTTCTCGCTGTCAGAAGGTTCAGCCTTTTTGTTCTTTTCATGCCTTCCACTGATTGGCTGTGGCCCACCGCATTGGGGAGAGTGTCTGTCCTACTCAGTCTACCAGTGGGGACTTTAATGCAGTGAGGGTCTTCTCTTCTGTTCTCAGACAGAGCAGGTGAGGGGCTCCTGTCCTCCATGGAGAAGCAGAGATGCTTCCAGAAATAGTCCCAGCTTCTGCCTTTCTGACTTCTAGGAATCATTTGGGGGTGGAGGAGGGGACAGGTGGAGACAGGAAGGGGGAGAAGTCAGACATTTCTGAAGCTTCTCCTGAGAGCCCTGAACCCCATTAGCTCAGAGTCCTCATCAGGCCAAAGCACCATATTTTGAAGTGCTGCCTTCTGAGCTCCAACACCTACAATCAAGGATGCTACAAACCTTGGTTTTTCTTTCTCAAGCATTGCATGAGGTCCTGGGCCCGTCTCCTTGGAATGTCTATGACTACACCTGACCTTCTGTGGCCTGCATATTGAAATGTTAAAGGTATCTAAGACTCATAGACTGCTTCTCAGCCTATGATTCTCGAACTCAAGGCCTAGGTGCTGTCTCTGAGCTTTTCTGCTAAGGCTGGCACTCTACTTCTTGAGCCAAGGCTCTACTTCTGGGGAGTTTTTTGGTAGTTAGAGATAAGAGCCTCATGGACTTGCCTGCCCAAGCTGGCTTTGACCCCTGATCCTCATCTCAGCCTCCTGGGTAGCTAGGATGACAGGCATGAACCATTAATGAAAAGATGACTCACCCCTTTAAGGAATCTCAGCCTAGGAGGAAGAGGGAAGATTCATAGAAATATTAATTTATCTGAACTCTTGGTGGCAGTAGTGGCCAAGGTTACTAGCTGTGGGGCTTCATATATATAAATAAATTCCTCCTTCTCTGTATAATGGTGTTTTCTGCTTCATATATACAGCCTGGGCAAAAGCTTAAGATTAGACTAGCTCAACAAAATACTTTGAAAACAACATAATGGCAAAAAGACCTGGAGATACGGCTCAAGTGGAAGAGCACTGAGTTCAATCCTGAGCACTGCCAAAAGAAAAAGAAAAAAAAATTAATTCCCACCAACCTAGGCTTTCTGATCAAGAAAAACTGTCAACTTTACTAACTGGAAGTGCTTTTGTAAGAGAGCTCAGGGTAATTACAATATTTCATTTTCTTTTATTTATGAGCCTCTTTTATCAGCTAATAGACATTCCTTTTGCCCTGCATATGATTTCACAAATCCAATGTGCTGCAATAAAATTATGAGTGCATGAATAATTTGCAAACATTCAAATATGGATATGCTCTGAGATGTGTTACCATCTTCAATGCTATTTTGAATTTTCCTGATCAAGAGGATTTTTCAGAAAAAGAGAGCAGCTATACTGAGCTATGATTAAAACAAATTCCTATATGTCTATATTTAAAGTCTCATCTCTGGTATAGACATGATTTTCATATAAAGGCAAGCCTACCACTTAATGTATTTCCTTCATGGGTATGATGATCTACAAACTTCAGCAGGCCAAAACTTGAGGCAAAACTGGCATTGCCATCATTTTCACAGCTGTTGACTGAGCCAATCTAAAATATGCGATTTTTCTAGTGCTTATCTCCATCTTCCCAGGACTACTCTCCTGTAGTTTTAATCCTAGCTTGGGGGCTGGGAAGGTGGCTCAGTGGTAGAGTGCTTGCCTTGGATACAGGAGGCCCTGGGTTTGATTCCTCAGCACCACATGAGCAGAAAAAGTCAGAAGTGGCGCTGTGGCTCAAGTGGTAGAGTGCTAGCCTTGAGCTGAAGAACTGAGGACAGCACCCAAGCCCAGAGTTCAGGCCCCACGACCGATAAAAAAAAAGAAAAAAAAAATCCTAGATGGGTTTAAGCCAGCCAGCTGTGGTGGTACACACCTGTAATCTCAGCACTCAGGAGGCAGAGGTAAGGAGGATCTCCAGTTTGAGACCAGTTTGGGCTGGTGAGAACCTGTCTCAAAGCCGGGCGCTGGTGGCTCACGCCTGTAATCCTAGCTACTCAGGAGGCTGAGATCTGAGGACCTCGGTTCAAAGCCAGCCCAGGCAGGAAAGACTGTGAGACTCCTATCTCCAATAAACCACCAGAAAACCGGAAGTGGTGCTGTAGCTCAAGTGGTAGAGGGCTCGCCTTGAGCTGAAGAGCTGAGGGACAGCGCCCAGGCCCAGAGTTCAAGCCCCACGACCGACAAAAAAAAAAAAAAGAACCTGTCTCAAAAACAAAATGGGAATAAAACAAACTCTAACAAACAAAATAATCACCAAATGCTAGTTTTCTAGGTAGCAAGTGAAAACAACGTTGTGGCCTAAAAATCACAGATATTAGTTCTTTCACAGGTCTGGGGGTCAGAAGTGTAGAAGCAAAGTGTCAGCAGGGTTGATGCCTCCCAGAGGCTCTGGGGACAATCCATCTGGCTCCTACCCAAGCAGTGCATCTCTTTAAATCTGAATTCTCTTCATATATGTTTGTTATTTGTGTGTGTATATATACATATATATACATACATATATGTGTGTATGTATATATATGTGTGTGTGTGTGTGTGTGTGTGTGTGTGTGTGTGTGTGTGTGTGTATGGTTTTGTGACAGGGTCTTGCCCTGTAGCTCAGGCTGACCTTGAACTCTCCATTTTCCTGCCTCCACCTCCCAAGTGCTGGGATTATAGGCATAGGCCACCAGGCACAAAATTAATTCATTCCCTTGGCACAAAACAAAGGATGTGAACAGAGTTACTTTCTGCAACATTGTTTAAAATACTGGAAATACCATCAAGTCTGGCAACAGGGGAGAAGTTAAATAAACCACAAAGGAATAAACACAGGAACCAGCAGCTCTTTAGTGTGCCAGCGATTCCCAACCCTAACCAGATGCTAAAACACCACAGGGAATAAACTTGATAG